ATCAAAGTGACAAACTTTGACGATAGGATGCAGTTAACGAAAGAGGTACGCAAACATGGAGGCATGCTACCGATTTCTATACGCGGTATCATCTGCGGTCCGTCGAATTGCGGCAAGACAAACGTCTTGATAAGCTTGCTGGAAAGTCCGCACGGTGTACGTTTCGAGAACGTGTATGTGTACTCGAAATCGTTGCAACAACCGAAATATCGATATTTGGAGAATATACTAACACCGATAGAAGAGATTGGCAAATAGATCACGTGAGAAATATATCAACCACCACTCCCGCCTCTGGTGCCACATCCTTCCTCGCCCCGTTCGCCGTCATAACTTCACTCACCTGCCTCTTCTTCTTACGCAGATTTCTGCCGTTCCGCTGCACCTACTGCCTCGCCTCCACTTACTCCTCTTCCTTTCCACATACTGCACGCCTCCGCTTCCACCTCCCCTTTCACTCTCCTCTCTCAATCTTTTTTTTCGTCACATTTTTCCTCCCTTTCCCGTTCCACCTGTTACCCCGCCGAGCTACCCCCTCCCTCCTCCGCAATTAACTTACATTTAGCGTCATTAATTTGTACAACATTAATGACTGTCTCGTCAGTGACAATTGTCATACCGTTGTTATCGCTTAACGATTCCGTGGATGTAGCTCTCGCTATTCCTGTGGCAACTGCTGCTACCGGTGGGATCGTCGGAGACGTCGAGATCTTCGCTTGCTTTTTCTTCTTTAGTTTGATACAATAATCTCGAAGATGACTTTTGTTACGGCAATGTACGCAGAAAATTTCTTGCTTCTGTGAATTGCTGCTCCCCTCGGCGTCACTTATATCCTTTGGCTTGACAGGTTTAACAGAAGATTCTTTAAGCTTATCAAAATTGGCACTTTAGAAACACCACAAACTGAGGATAGGTAATGCATCTCTTCCAAGAAGTAATCCACTGTATCAGTGCGGATTGTAGCTGCTGCTGATTTCATGGAAAAATTGGTAATTCATCAGTAAATGGATGATGTCTTCGTCTCGTAATCTAAGTGGTTGTATTAACGCCAGTTTATCCATTGCGTAGTCTTGGAATGATTCTGCAGAAAAGTTCCATGTACGATAGTTGATTTTCTGCATTACCACATTAAATAAGACTCTTTTAAATCTTCTGACTATGGCCTCCTTGAAAGCCTCCCAAGAGCCATTGACGTCTCCTGTGCATAGATCGAACCATCGACGCGCTGCCTTGTTTAATTTGATCGTAGCCGCCAACAACCTGGTCACTGGTGCTAGGTTGTAATTCGCTGCAATGGCCTCAATTTTTTCTAACCACAGAGATACATCCTCTTCTTCCGTACCACCGAAAAATGGAATTGTCGAAGACAAGAATTTGACTGAGTGGCCAATGGCTGCCACCGAAGGTTCTGCAACATGTTGCGTACTAGAACTTCGACCATCTTGGATATCGAATTCGGCAGAAGAGAGTACATCCTGAGTTTGTAAAGGTCTTTTGTTTATATTCATCGCCCTAAACATCTGCTGCATTAAGGCTTGTTGCTGGGCTAATTGTTGCAACAGCCCCTGCTGCTGTGTCATTTGTTCCTTTTGTAAGCGCGTCTGCTTTTCTCTTTGCAAACGCATTTGCTCTACCAACAGCATGTAAGGCTGTGATATTGATCCATCTTCAGATGAGGGCCGTAAACCGCTGTCAAATATGGAAATTTCTGGGGGTGTTGTTTTAACTTTTGCCGATAAGTTTGGTATATCGGCTTCATTACCGGCCTCTTGAAACTGGTTCTGTCCTTCTTTCCCTTGACCGCTTCTTATTAGGTGGTCGATGTATCCATCGTTCCTGCTTGTCAGTAGGAAGGTTGATTCCATATTTTTTGGCCTTTTCTTGTAATTGTATCAGAGTCATCAGTGAAAGTCGTTCCTTCACCATCTCCATTGAAGTCTCGGAAACCGACATAGCTTTTTTTTTTTCGTAAGTCACTGTTCCGCGCAGGTAACCGCAATGTATTAACAGACACGTACCCTCGCAGGAATCTCTACAGTCTACGACAACGAGAGAAATATTACGATCGCGTACACTTGAGTCTTACAGTCTAGCGACAACAGAAGAATCGCGAACACGCATGGCTACACTGTCCTCTTGCCTGAGTTGTCTGAGCGTAGCTGGCCACGGATAATCTCCTCAGTCTTCGTGACAACGGGAGAACCGTGAATGCACACCACGAACTGCAAGCACACGTAAAACAACGGGAGAGCTGCGACTTGTTGCTTGTATCAAAAAGAAGAGAAAAAAACTGCACTACCCAAAGCACGCGTATATCCCACTTCTGATGCTGTAAGACCCTGGTGAAGTCAAGAACCGGGATGGGCGACTGATGGGACGATGCTCGGACAAATAACGCTTACTCTTATTTTGGCAGTCTGTATTTCAAATATGTGCTTTCGCCGGTGTTACAATTGCTAATGGCTTCCGGGCCCGTTCCCGCGTTCGTGTCTCTCTTCCTCTTGCGTTCTTCTCCTATCACAGCCCTAGCCTGCGCTCTTATCTTATCACAACCCTAGCCTGCGCTCTTATCCTATCACAGCTCGAGCCGTACGCGGTATATCTACGCGACCAATGACAGGCGAGGTTGCCGCTGTGCGCGCCACCTTGCTGTATAACCTATAACGTTTCCTTACAATTAATACTTATTATTTCTCGACATTTGAATAATTTTGAAACCGGTTTCCAAAATATCGGTAACAAAAAATTATTATCCATAAAAAAAAATTCAGTTTTGTTGGCGTTTTGGTTGCGTCGTCGCGTTAATTAGCGTAAGCGCCGGGTTCGACCCCGACAGGGATCAGGCGTGCGAAGGAATAATAACGAACACTGTCTTTAACAGGAGAGCTGAGCGCAAATTTATTAACAGTCTTAACTTGCACGCGCTTTTACATACGGGCGCGGTAGTCAATGTACGGAATAACCACTTGTATTGTGGACATACACGGGGTGTACACGTGATGCCGGTAGGCTCGCGCAGGAGCTAGCAAGCGGCTACGGCGATATATGAGCGCATTTAATAGCGCTCACAATTAGCGAATGCGCGTGTGCACGAGATGCACTAGTCGCGCGCACTCGAATATGCAATGCTTGCAGAGCGACAAAGGTCTGAGCGAGTGTACGTAACGCGGTAAGATACGCGCACTGAGATTCAAAGTGTTCATCGACTGGATGATGTAGCGGGCGCACAATGGCGCGGCACGTAGCGCGCACTGATTTGCGCGTAGATTAGCGGGGTTCTGAAAGAGCAATAAAACTGGTGTGCACGACGGCGTATATGCGACCGCGTGAAACGGAGTAAAGTAAACGGATGCACGACGGCAATTATGCTACCTCGTGAACCGGAGCATCTTTTGCTACTACTGAGACCGGAGCTCTCGCGGTCTTGTTTCGGGAGCTTTCGGGCGCGCGACGCGTATCGACCAATCATTCGCGTTTACCGGATCATGCGATCGCGGCATGACAGGATCGATACGCGTCGGGAGAAACTTCGCGGTTAGGGTTGACGGGGCGAGCGGCGCAAAATCGGCCCTCGTTCGGAGGGCGACTAAGGGATGACGTTACGGATACTCTATTGATCCGCAATCGCGACGGATTGAAAGATTTCCGAACATAACCGCCCGCCGCGAATAGCAATTCGCAACAAGTTAGAGCCGCCTGCCGTGAGGAATGTTTGATCTCGGGCCGCCCGCCGTACAAAACACTGCAGTGCTGAAACAACTTAAACTAAGCTTAGAAATCTAAATTTACAAAATATGCAGATATGTACAAATATATACAGACGTAGAGTTGTAAACGAACGCAGCTCGCGTGATTGATGTCGAGGAACGTCTCTCCGGATTAAGGTGAATCGATATTTACGTCAATCGATAGAAAGGACGATTTGACGACTGAACGTTTATACGTTGATCGGGCCGTTTTTACAGAAACGACTCGCGTTAGTCCGTCATCGCCGGGGTGACACTCCACGATACGTTTTAACTCCCACTTGTTCGGAGGAACCAGCGGATTTCGCAATAGTACTAAGCGTCCGACTCGAGCTAGATTCTGAATGTGACGCCACTTGGGGCGTTGCTGCAATGTATGCAGATAATCATTCGACCAAAGTTTCCAAAAGCTATCGCGCATCTGTTGAATCAGCTGTCATCGAGTGAGACGCGTTTTCTTTTCATCGAATAAGGAGGGTGTGGGTGCGCTTGTTAGCGCTGTGCCGATTAGAAAATGACTCGGTGTCATTGCACAATAATCGCCGATAATTATCGGAAACCGGCGCAATCGGGCGCGAGTTCAAGCATGCTTCGATTTTACATAGGAGCGTGCTTAGCTTCTCGAATGTTAGCGTGTGCGCCCCGATGACGCGTTTCATATGAAACTTGACGTTGCGGACGCACGCTTCCCAAAAACCGCCGAAATGCGGCGCAGACGAAAGAATGAAATTCCACCGAACGCCTTAGGTTGCGATTTGATTTTGAAAGTTCGGATCGCGAGTGGCCTTACTCCATGCGACGGAGATTTCGCGCTGAGCGCCGTGGAAAGTCGTAGCGTTGTCCGAATACATATCACTGGGAACGCCGCGTCGAGCACAGAACCGATCGAATGCAGCGATAAACGCGGGAGTCGTACAATCGCTAACCAACTCTAGATGAGTCGCCTTTACTGTCATGCAGACGAACACCGCGATGTACGTTTTTCTTGATTTGTGTCCTCAACCGGGAGTAAATCTCATTTGAATTGGTCCGGCATAATCCACCCCGCAATGCAGAAACGCTCGAGGCGTAGACGTAATAGTTAGGGAGCTGGGTGCCAAATCGGTATATGATTTGTTCATGTTTCATATCGATAGGGATTAAAGTTCAGATCAATACGAATCGATTTGGTCCAGTCAATTAAGATCTTACATTGCTGCGTTTTTGCGTTACAGCGCTTCAAATTTGTAAAAAAAAGGGTACTAAATCATTTGTTCATGTCTGTCTCTGGGGCTGATGGTCAAAATCATCCTGAAAACGAAAAAAATCCATGAGGCAGACATCCAGGGCTCTGCATTATCACGGGACGTAGTTGTAAAAATGTAAAAAAAAGCTCTACTAACAGTCATTTGTTCATGGTTCTAGTTACGTCCATTCGATTCATTATGACTACCTGAATACGAAAAAAATTTGGCAGACATTTTGCTTACTGATTTTGAGCTGTAAAATTTTTTGAAATTTATGCATGGAATCAAGGGAGAGCGGGTATTACGGTTGATTATTGTTATTATTAATAGTTTTACTATTAATTATGTAGCCCAGCGTGGAGGACAAAGAGATGAGTGTTGCGTATCAACGCGGCCACTAACGGATGTGCAGCGACCACAACAGGGTGCTTTTTGTCATCCGGCAACGCAGAATGCCGGAGTCGACCACCGACGCGAATGAGCCCGCTTTTATAAGAAACGAGTTTAACGGCAGCAGTTTACTGCCTTTCGAGATTCGTTGTGATGAATTTAATTGAGCGTATTCCACGGGGAACAACATTTGTTACACATTTGACGCGGTTTGTGAATGAGCATTTACGGATTTTGAGCGACTCATATCGCAAGCGCGACGAGCAAATTGCATTATATAGGTGGTGACTCGCACCAGCTTGTTCCACGATGAGAATCTTTTACCGAGATTCCATTGATCGCAGGATTGCGATCGTGCACAAGGTGCACGGAAACGTGAGCTCGCTCTTCCGGCAACGATTCATACGAATTTGATTAAGGCTCGAAGGGCCATTGATCGGACGATAATTTGAGCCAGTCTGGCCCTGTCCACCACAGAGATTGAGTAAGCAAATTTTCGGGTTTGACGCCTCGCGAAACGAGATCGACAGGGTTCTGTTGCGATGGCACGTGATGCCATTCGACGTTTTGCAAGAGGGTTTGAACCTCATGCACCCGATTTGCGACGAACATTTTTCATCGAGAAGGGGGCTGCGAAAGCCAGGCTTTAGTGACTTTAGAATCGGTCCAACAATGATATATCCGAATCGCGATAGTAAGCGCGGATCGCACTGCGGCAATTGCACGCGCGAGCAGGACCGCGGCGCATAACTCTAAGCGAGGAATACTCATGGGTTTGAGCGGAGCTACCTTTAATTTCGACAAAAGTATCGTAATGTCGACTGTTCCGTCAAGATACGTAACCCTTAAATAAACAACCGCTCCGTATGCGGAGGCGGAGGCTTTGGCAAACCCATGAATTTCCGCGGTAAGCGTATCGGAACCACAACCGGTTCAACGCGGAATGGTGATTTGGCGCAGTAGTGGTAACTGAAAATAATAATCTCTCCACTTGCGGAGAAGATCGTCAGGGATGACATCGTCCCAATTGCAACAAAGCAGCCAGAGCTGCTGCATCAATATTTTTACGGTGATGACCACTGGAGCCATCCAGTTGACAGGATCGAAAATTCGAGCGATTGTCGAGAGAATTGAGCGCTTCGTGTCGGGAACCGACTCTGCAAGCGTGACGTCGACTTGAAAGACGTCCGTATGAGAATGCCACTTGATATTTAGTACCTTGAGGCGCTTGTCGGATTCGAGCGTTTTTGTGGAAGCAAGACCGTGGTCCTGCGGATCTATGTCTTCGAGCAATAAGAAATTGTTACTCGCCCATTTTCGAAGGTGAAATCCTGCTCGTTGCAAGAGAGAAATTAGTTGATCTCGCGTCTGAAGCGCAAACGGTATGTCATCGGCGCCGAACACAGTCATCGACGTAAGTGTGAAGCCGTAATACCGGAACTGCTAGGAGGAAATCAGCGCCTTTGTCTTCGGCGACTTGTTCGACTACGCGAAGAGCCGCGTTCGGCGCGTTTGCGTTACCGTAAGTGACGGTAAGCAAGCGATAGGCTATCAGAGGATAATTTGGCGCGGGTCGCCATAAGATTCTTTGATAATCGACGTCGCAATTGTGGACGAGAATCTGGCGATACATCTTGGCGATGTCGGCGGTGAAGACAAACCGAAATTGACGCCATCGCAAGATAATGAACGATAACTCGGATTGTAATTTACGGCCGATCATTAGATGATCGTTCAAGGAGAGACCATTGGAGGTAGGTTGAGAGGCGTTGAAGACAACGCGCAAACGAGTTGTCGCGCTATGCTCGCGGACAACTGCTTGATGCGGTATATACACAATTTGATCGTCAGGGGGATTTTCGAGGGGTGCCTTGGTCATGTGGTCAAGACGTTCATATTCCGCTAAGAAGTCGTGGTATTCCTTTGCAAGGTCCGGATTTGCTTTTAACCGTGACTCGAGACGCGAATACAACGCGATTGCAGACTGCTTAAAGTCGCCAATGTCGATAGGGGGCCCCGATTTGAACGGCAGCCGCACTATATACTGCTTGTTGGGGGCACGAGAATGCGTCGACACGAAGTGTTCTTCGCATCGAATCTCTTCCGGTAAGAGATGAGTCTGCTGAGGAAGTTCTTCAACCTCCCAGAAACGTTTTAACTGGTCGGAGATTTCCGACAACACCGTGCAGTGGTGCGTTTGAATGCAAGCCGGCCGTGACTGCGACGGCATAGGCATTGGTTCGGACAGGAACCATCCGAAAATAGAGTTTTGAGCGACGGGCTCATAAGGGGCGCGATTACGAATCTCCGGTAATAATATTGCGCCATACAATTCAGCACTGATTATTACGTCAATCGGCGCCGCGCTAGTCCGATCGCTATCAGCTAGCGGTAGTTTGTGAATGTACGACAGTTTCGTTATGTCCGGAACGGGTTGCGGAATGTAAGTCGTGAGCGACTTGAGAACAAGAGCGGAGATGGAGGGCGACGGGCCTGTGCCATCACGCGCTGACACGTGAACTTTAGCTGCGCTGCGTGCTGTGGCAGCCGTCTCGCCGATCCCAGTGATAGAGACGGAAACGCACGTACACGGTAAACGCAATCGCTGAGCTAAACGTTCGGTGAACAGAGTAGTGACCGAACCCTGATTCTATAACGCGCGGATTATGCTATGTCGACCATCGAGCCCGCTCACCTTAATCCAGGCGGTGGCTAAGAGAATATTTGATTTCGAAAAACTAGTGTGAGATAATAAATGCGACGTTATCTCGGCATTTGTATCTGTTTTAGAGTCCGTGGATGAAGGCCCTCACTTGTCGAGTTATTATTATTGACATCGGTGGCATGAAGCAACGTATAGTGCTTCTGCTGACATTGACGGCACGTGTTCTTGCTTGAACACGCATCGCGAGTGTGCCGTGTACTCAAACAATTATAACAACAATGAAATTTCTTCGCGAGATCACGCCGTTGAGCGACGCTTTTATTGTGTAAGTCCGGACACGCGGACAAAAAGTGCGTCTTCTGACACATGGAACATTTGGTCGAACTTGCGTTCGCTGCGTGACTCCGAGGAATGTTGTTTACTGCCCTTCGCTTGAGGCGAAGCCGGGAGAATATTCTCGAGTGCGCGTATTCGAGAGATAAAAAAATCCAGCTGGTCGTATGTCGGATACTCCAACACATCGCCCAGTTGCAATTCCCAGGCCTTACGTGTGCCTTTATTAAGTTTTTGACTGAGCAAATAAACTAAAATGTTGTCCCATGTATCAACAGACCAACCGAGATTTCTTAATAACTGCGAAATCAAAAGTCGCTTGGGGAAGCGTATGCAGAGCGTGCACATGATCATGCACCAAACGACGGCGATTGTCATATCGCGATAACAAGTTCCAGGCTATCTTGAAATTCGCGTTAATGTCAGATTGCGGATAGTATCGCTAGCCTCACCTTTGACACAAGAATGCAAAAATTGCAGACGATTAACGTCTAACAAGTCGCGAGTGTCAATTATCAGCGCCGTAAACTGATCTCGAGACGCTTCTCACTCGCAAAACTCCCCCGTGAATTTAGGAAGACTTATACGCGGAAGGTGAAACGCGGAACGCGGCGATGCGTTGAAATGATACTGGCTTACGGGTGATGAAACCTGGGACGGCGGCGGCGACTCCAGCCTACTCATCCATTCGGCCATGTAGTCGGATGCTGTCAGGAACGTCACCACGCACTTGTCGAATTGATCCTCGGTGAAGTACCGGTCCGTCATGATGAACTCGTTGGAGGCTGCGGCCATGATCTGACCGTGAAGTCGTTCAAAGCGAGTGAAGTGGTCCTTCAGCTGCTGCAATCGGTAACCGACCACTCCCAATGTGAGATTCGCCTTGCCGATTTTCTTGAAGTTGTCAAAAGCTCGGTCGATCGCGTGGATCGTCACCTTTTGCCGTTACATGAGATCCTCCATTGTTCAAGTGTCCGTTAATTTTGCGAATGGCACAGTTGCACGCCGATCCGGCTCAAAGGACCAGAATTTATGTTAGCGTTTCGGTTGCGTCGTCGCGCCAATTAGCGTAAGCGCCGGGTTCGATCCCGACAGGGATCAGGCGTGCGAAGGAGTAATAACGAACACTGTCTTTAACAGGCGAGCTGAGCACAAATTTATTAACAGTCTTAACTTGCACGCGCTTTTACATACGGGAGTAGTAAATGGGTAGGTATGGGG